TGCATGATCGTAGTATAGTAGGAGTGTGAGGTCGTGGTTGATGTGTATATGTAGACACCGAGAGGTAAGGTGTGGAGGTAGAGGGGAGAGAGGGAGAGAAAAGAGAGAGACAGAGAGAGAAAGAGAGAGAGAGAGAGAGAGAAGAAAAGAGAGAGAGAGAGAGAGAGAGAGAGAGAGAGAGAGAGAGAGAGAGAGAGAGAGAGAGAGAGAGAGAGTCAAGTGACAGCGTGAAGGTCAGAAGGGCCGGTGCCGCATGGCGGTGTTAGCCGCTGCATTGGGGCTTTCAAGCTGCAGAGCGCGGGAATAAGCTTCCTTGTGTGTGTGTATATATATATATATGTGCGTCGTGCATAGATGTATACATATGTATATATACATATATATATATATATATATATATATATATATATATATTCGGAAAAGGTAGATGAGCAGGGTGAGGGGGTGGCTAGTGGTGGATAGAGAGCTAGGCGCACCAACGATGAATCCTAGAATAATGTTGAGGACGAGCTGCACGACTGTCACTAGGGGGTTGCGGACGAAGTTGATGGTGGTCATGCGCGTCAAGACGCTAAACTCGGTGCACCAGCGGCTTCTGCACGCAGGAGGGACAAAATGCTTCATCGACAGCATGCGACATGTGCCCATTTGGAAGCGCTTGTGCGGCGAGGGGGCCCCGTGGAGGGTAACCGACAGACCCCACAAGTATCGCGTGATGAGAGGACAAGTTTGAGCTCACAGGAAGTCTTTGTGTGCCATGAGCCTCTCTTGAAGTCCTCTATTGAGCTGCTTGTCTGGAGGGAGTTCCAGCTCCCTCTCGATTCTGTCCGCTATACGCGCACACAGAGGCGAGGCCTTGTAGAACGCAGGAAGCCTGTCGATCTCCTCTTGCGTCACCGTTACACGCATCAAATGCGATTCAAAATGACTCAGTGCCGGCGCATCAGCCTCCTCGACATCCGTCTCCATCAAGATGTGAGCGGCACTCTGATCACGGCCTTGTGGCTCCTGCGTGACTGCCCCCATGAGCCCATACCCTTCGACAGACTGCTGTGTTTCGCTGACGCCAGCGAGCTGCCGGAGCGAGAGTTGATGCGGAAGCTCGTGAGATGAAGGCAGCTTGAGGTGCTGCTCCAGATCCACACCGCCTTCCGCTTCCAAAGTCTCCTCGCGATGCTCGTTCCGCACAGTCAACAGATCCAGCAGAAAATCCGCAGGATTGAATTGCGATGGACACCGCAACCCCAGGCGCGCAAAATAAGCGTTGCATTCCACGGCAGGACCTTGAAAGACGATCTGGCCACGATGCAACAGCATCAATTCATCAAACATGGCAAATAGCTGAAGGATGCGCATGACAGCACACAGAGGGAGAAAGTCGCAACGCTCCAACAGGAGATGCTGCGTGTTTTCACGCGGCACGGAAGGAGGAAAAAGCAGCAAACAGGGGGGAGCACCGAAGCGTAGGCAGTCAACATGTGTAAATATGTATTTAAAGAGTGGCCGCGTTGCTGCCATTTATGTTCTACGGCTGCGTGCGTAGGAAGCAGTATTTTTCAAAAAAATCATAATTGGAGCGCGTACACACAGACACGTTCATAAGCGTTCACCACCGACACCCCAAAATACAACATAATATGACACCAAAGAGGGTATTTTTAAACGCTTTCCTCCGACGGAGCGACGGAGCGCTGAGGCAAACAGAGTTGTACAATTTCGCTGGCCGTGGCTGCGGCTTTGGGGGATTTTTCTTTTGGTCAGGCCCCTAGTGCTTGTGGGATGCTGCTGACACAGGGTGTTAGCTGTAATTCTGCATCTGGTTAATAAAAAGCCTCGCTCGCGTACGAGCAGGCTGCGCGCGCATGCGCTTCATGTAGGGGCGACAAGAGGAGCAAACAAGCGTCCATCAAGCAAGGCATCCTTCTTCGTGCACTCATCAGGTGCACACAACCAGCGCATGCAGAGGAATGAGACATCTACTTGTGGTGATGATGATGCACACAACCAGTGCATGCAGAGGAATGAGACATCTACTTGTGGTGATGATGATGCACACAACCAGTGCATGCAGAGGAATGACACAACATCTTCTTGCGGTGAAAACAGGAGCAGCAGAGCAGCCTACCTGGGAGCGAGGCTGGTGAACGGTGCAGACGATTGTACGACCACCAGCACGCGCAAGACGCAGCAGCAAACGCATCGTGTCGAACGCGAGGGCAGCGTCTAGGCCTGAAGTTGGTTCGTCTGCAAGGACCGCAAGGCACACGGCGTGAGGCATACAGGATGAACGGCAGCTGTCGCTAGGAAAACCTTCTGCGCGCAATGCAAACGAGTAAAAGCTTCTTTTGCGCTTCCTTTCCCTTTGTCTCTCCTTTCTCTCCTGCCTTCTATCGATGCCCACCCGCAAGAAGGCTCGTGAAGACAACACTCTAAGGCTACATACCCAAAAAGATGAGAGAAGGGTTGTTCAGAAGCTCGACAGCAAGGGCAACGCGCTTCATTTCGCCGCCGCTAAGGCCTTTGCGCGAAGAACCTCCGATCTGAGTGTCTTTGCTGTGATACAGATTTATGGAGTGCAAAACCTCCTTTATCCTCTCCTCTCGAGCCTTCAGAGACGACACTCACAGGCCTAAGAACCGCCGATAGAAAGGCGTACACCGCGCGTAGAAAAAAGCGAGGCACGTATGGGAGTCCTATCCCCCGCCCATCCCCAAAACACATAGAAGTACATACATGCACATACAAGTACACATACGCTTGCACACATGCACATAAAGGCACACATTCATACACATACAAGTACACATTCATTCAGATACAAGTACACATTCATGCACATACAAGTACACAGTCATGCACATAAAAGCACACATTCATGCACATACAAGCACACACATTAATATACAAGCACACACATTAACATACAAGTAAACATTCATACACATACATACACACACAAGTACACAGTCATGCACATACAAGTACACAGTTATGCACATACAAGTACACAGTCATGCACACACAAGTACACATTCATACACATACAAGTACACAGTCATGCACACACAAGTACACATACATACACGCACAAGTATACATTCACGCACATACAAGTACACATTAATGCACATACAAGTACACATTCATGCACATACATACACAGACAAGTACATATACATACACACACAAGTACACATTCATGCACATACAACTACACAGTCAAGCACACACAAGTACACATACATACAAATACAAGTACACATTCATGCACATACAAGTACACATTCATGCACATGCAAGTACACATTCATACAAATACAAGTACACACATGCACATGCAAGTACACATACATACAAATACAAGTGCACATTTATGCACATACAAGTACACATTCATGCACATACAAGTACACATTGATACACATACAAGTACACATTAATGCACATACAAGTACACATTCATAGACACACGAGTACACATACATACACATACAAGTACACATTGATACACATACAAGTACACATTGATACACATACAAGTACACACATACAAGCAGGAAGCAGGGTGCTGCTAGCACCGATTCTCAATCGTGGGTGAGGGGAGAGGCATCACGAGAGAAGAAAGCCTTTTGCCATGCCTCAACAAAGTGGCGCAGAGGCTTCATGCAGGCCCTTCAACAGCGCAATTAGGGGACATGGTTCTAAGCAGGTAAATCCGACACGCTGCTCTGCAGCGGCATTCGTCTCTTAGTGCACATCTCAGAATGCAAAAAGACCGTCGAGCAAGCGTTCCCGCAGAGGCGGCTGCTCACACCCCTTAGAAGAGTGCTATGAAACAGAAACGGGGATGCAGAGGGAATGCGGCAATTCGCTGCTGCTGCTTACGGCTTTGGGAACGCCGGGGAGCTTAAGTGCTGCAAAGTAGGAAAGATATTCCCATACGGTAACGTAGGAGGGCAAGATATCCTTCTGCAGCAAAAGCGGGGGTGCACAAGGAGAGAGGTGTCCGTGAAAATCATCGGGAAATACATATATATTATGAATATAAGAGCCCCCTCTTCGAGAAGACATGGCAAGCAATGGGGGCGGGGGAGGGGAGTGAATAAATAGAAAAAAATGAAGAGGCTGCAGCGGTTCGCGGGGAGGAGGGCAGGAGTGGTACGCGCAAAGAGAACATATAGAGGCACAGATGCAAGAACCGTCGGCAGCGTGCAGGAAAGCAGCTTGTCTGTGTGTGAGGAAAGCAGCTTGTCTGTGTGTGTGTGTCTGTGTGTCTGTGTGTGTGTGTGTGTGTGTGTGTGTGTGTGTGTGTGTGTGTGTGTGTGTGTGTGTGTGTGTGTGTGTGTGTGTGTGTGTGTGTGTGTGTGTGTGTGTGTGTGTGTGTGAGCGTGAGAGTGCATGTGTGA